AGGGGGGGGGGGGGGGCGGACCTGCCACGGGGCATTTCGCGGCGTGGAGACGGCGTCGAGGCGGAGCGCGGGGTGGAGGAAGAGGGTGGCGAGCGCGTCGAGCAGCGGCGCGTGCGAGAGGACCTGCGGCCCGGCGGCGGTGGCGGCGTGAGACGGGTCAGCCGTACTGCGACGTCCTCGGCGCGGGCGGCGAGACAGTCTCGCCGAGAAGAAGAGGGCGAGGCAGAGCAGCGCGAGCACCTCCGCCTCGCCGCCCGCCGCGCCGCTCCCCGCGCCGCTCCCCTCGCCGCTCCCCTCGCCGCTCCCCTCGCCGCCGGCGGGCGAGGGCGCGGCCTCCGACGCGCCGCCGTGCAGGACGTGGCTCGGGCAGTCGCCTCCGAGGCGGGCGTGCGGGACGAGCGGAGCGGCGAGGCAGGGGAGGACGAAGGAGGAGAGGAGGGCGGAGGAGAGGCGGCGCGCGAGAGGCTCGAGCGCCGCCTCGAGGAGGTCGTTGACAAAGTACACCTGCCCGGGGAGGGGAGGGGAGGGGGCGAGGGGGACGTCTCACGGGGGCGGTCCTCTTGCAGTCTCCAGCAGGGTTTGAAGTCTCCAGTAGGGTTTGGAGGTGCGCCGGCGGGCGTCAGCGATCTCGGGGCGATCTCGGAGCTGAGTGACGGCGGGGCGCGCCTCGTCGAGCAGCCTGCCCAGGCTCTCCTCCACCGCCTCGACCGAGGCGCCTGCGGGTGCGCGCCAGCTGTGAATGCCAGGTCGCTGTGCAGACTCCACCTCGGCCGAGGCGCCTTCTCGCCGCGCCAGCGCCACACTCGCACGCTCGTGCTCGGCGAGCAGCGCCGCCACGAGCACCTGCCAACGGCGGGAGAGGTGTGAGCAGCGCCTCGTCGGGCTCGGCGAGCAGCGCCGCCCCGCAGCAGCACCTGCGGCAGCGTGCCGCTCCCACACACGTACTCCTGCACCGCCGCCTCTGCCACCTTGCAGACCGAGAGCACGATCGTCCGCACCTGCACACCACCCGGCTGGAGGGGTGAGCGGGCCCTCCGCCGGGCAGGCGGAAGGCGCAGAGGGCACGGCACCGCCGTCCTCACCATCCGCTCCTATCCATGAATCATCACCCGCTCAGAACGGACCAGCGAGCAGGTGTGGCGCCGCGCCGCCGCCGCGTGCCTCGTGCGTCCATAGGGTGAGTGCCGCCTGGGAGAGGAGGGGAAGGGGTCAGACCCAGGTCCAGCGGCGCGGGCCGTGCTGCACGGCGGGGCGGAGGGGGCGGCCTCGAAGAGCGCGAACTCGCGCGAGCGGCGGCGAGGCGCGCCGCCGCCGCCGCCGCCGCCGCCGCCGCCGCCGCCGCCGCCGCCGCCGCCGCCGCCGCCGTCGGCGGCGTCGCCGCCGCCGCCGTCAGCGGCACAAGTATCGGAGGAGGCGGAGGCATGCGCGGAAGGGGTCGAGGAGGCGTCGGCGTCGGTGCTGGCCAAGGAGTAGGACGAGCGGCGCGCCGACTGCAGAGTCGCCGATGAAGAACCTACCGCGGCCAACGCGCCGCCGTGAGCTCACGATCCCGCCCCGTCGCCGCAGGCGCTGGAGGTGGCGGCACTGGACGGTGTGCTCGTCGAGCCGCAGAGCGATGGCCTTGAGGAGGGAGATGTAGTGGGCGAGCAGCTCCTCGTGGGAAAAGTCGAACGGGTGGCGGATCAGCTCGTTGATGTGGTCGTTGGAGAGGATGTAGTAGATGGAGGGCCCCGCCTCAATGTTTGAGATGAGAATCGACAGCGTCTGCAGCATCTGCACCTTGACAGAGACGGGCGTCTCGCGCTGCTCGAGAAGCCGCCAGAAGATGCCGAGCATGTTCTTCTCGAGAAAGAAGTCGAAGAGCACCGGGTCGTTCTGGTCACCCCACAGCACAAGCTCCGCGATCGTGCGCAGGTTGTCGACGACCGCAGCGCGGTTGCGCTCGGTGACCACAACCGTGTCGTGGAGGTGCTGGTGGAGCCTGCTCATGTTGGCGAGAGAGAACTTTGGTGGCGGCACGATCGTCGACCAGAAAGGCATGGCGGCGCAGCGCTTTGGGCGCCGGCCTTTCCCTGGCGGCGCCGCACGCGATGCATGGAAAGAAATTCATCCGGTGCAAGTCCTCCAAGTTGGCACAAGACAAAATCCGGTAACTGGCGACCCTGTGCTCCTCCCATCCCTCTTTACTTTCTTCACACTGGGCACGGGGCCACTGGCGCGCACTCACTGCAAAAGAATTTTTCGCGCGCCTCGCACAACACTGTCCTCGACCCAGCCCTAGCTTGGGTGGGATGTCCGTTTTGTTCATTCCGGGGCCTGTCAACACTAAGAAGAAAATGGGATTTTTCCAGAAAATTAACCGGGCAGGAGAGAGAACCCTTACGCGCACCACGGCGGCCGCCTTCAACTCCCCGAGCGGGGCCTACTAGGACTAACTAGGGCGCGCGCTCGGCAACTTCCTGCGCGCTTTTGCGCAGGGTCACAGCCCCTGGGCCAGCTACTGGTGGAACCACCTCAAGGCCGGCGCGCATGTGCGGGCGATGGACTGACTCCGGCAGGTCAGTGCGTCAACCGCATTGTGCCGCAGCTGCACCGCTTCTCCCCGGACAATATCTCGGCGCTCGCGCGCGCCACCGCCCCCGGCGCGGGGTGGGTTGTCAGTTCGTGAGTTCTGTGGCCCCATCCCTGTGCCCCACCTTCTTCTCCTGCGCCAGTCCCCGCGAACCCCACTATATAGCGCCACCTCGTGAGCTGTCCTGTGAGCTGTGTGTTGTGCGTCCAGCAGTCCGGACCCAGTGCTACGGCCGGTGATAGCGTGCCTCGTGTCGGCTCCCGAGCCAATCGTGTGTAGCGTGTGTGTGCGTGTGGGCCCGTCCTCCATGCTAGGAGGTGTGTAAGAGCTAATACTGACTGACTGACTGCTGGAGAGAGAACGACGAGAGTGGGACGACCGCGAGGTGGCATAAACGAAGGTCGGTGGGAGAAGTTGCGAGAGACTGCGACGAGAGATATAGGTAGACCGTGTTTATTATGACCCCCCGATGAACACACCAGCGAGGGAGGGCGAGACGATCGAGGGGTCCCGTACCATGCGGAATCGACCCTATCCAGTGCTCAAGTGCTCAAGGTAGACAGAGGCAGATGCACAAGGGCAAACATCGGAGACGGCTAGCTAGCACCACACACTCTTCTATCCTTAAATCCCTGTGTGGTGGCGGCGTGCCGTCCTGCTTTCGCGGTTCTTCTTTCTTTTGGTGTTTCGATACCGGCCGGGCCGAAAACGTCTCTTTACATCGTAGAGAGAGAGCGCGCCCGCCTTGCAAACATGGGCTGCAAGCAACTCGGGTTCCGTGGTCAACGGGCGTTCGACCACACCACCGGCCAAGGCTACGTCAAGTCACAGCGTGGCCACTACCATGATGGGATCTTCACCAAACGAAACAAGTTCAACCTGCTTCTCCACGAGACATTCGGCGGCGGCTTCTCGCCGCCAGCAGTTGCAAAGATCAACCGCCTTGCGCGCAAGGCTCAACGCTCGGGCGTTGACCGCACCGCGTACCCTCCCCACTCCCGCCTCTCATTTGTGTCACACCACGCGGAACGCATCTCCATCGCTTCGGTGAAGGGGGTGAACCGTGCCATCCTCGATCGCCGTGCAAAGCTCGCTTCCGAGCTCTCACGCCGCGCGCGTAGGGCCCTTAGGGGCCTAGAGAACACAACCCCCTCTCTCTTTTCTCCCAGTAAGCTAAAAGTACGTATGTACATCGTCCAACCCTATGGCGGCGCCAGTAGCAGCCTGTGTCGACGGGCGCGACTTTCGGACCGATGATATTGTCGCCGGTCTGGAGGGCCTCGCCATCTTTGAGCCCGCAGTCGCTCGCTTGCCTGCAGAGATGGTTGTTGTCATAGCGCGCATCGTTGCTGCGTGGGATGCCGCTGAAGAGCGCGGCTGGGGCCGCTTTGCAAACAAGGGCCACGGCAGCCATGAGCTCGTCGCAATGCTCGGGGTGTGCCACGGGTGGCGAGAGCCGCTGCTGGCATTCGAGCCAGCATGGCGGCGGTTGCTCGAGGCTCGCTTTCCCGCGCTGCAGCTGAGCAGGGCTCTTCAACGTGACCACAATGGCAAGCGAGTCGAGCCGCTGGCCTATGTGCGCAAGGGACGCCTGCCTTGCCGGGAGCATTTTCTCTTGCAGCAGACCGTGGAGCGCTTGCGTGGCGCTGCCGTATCGCCACCACCGCGATGCACCATCGAGGGGGCAAAGCTGGAAGACTTCACCTTTACGATCGAGGCCAAGCGAGTCGGCTGGCATGAGGACACGTGGTTCTCTACCGACGAGGAGGAGCGAGCGCATTACCCAAGAGGCTCGATCGAGTCCTGGGCCGGTCCACTCAGCAGATTTGACTACGATGGTTGCGAGGAAGATGGCACCCCGCTGATGGGCTCGCTGCAGCTCGAGGACGCAAAGGTCGAAGTGAACGTTTACGTCACGACGCCCGACGGGCACACCTGCAAGATCTACGAGCGCGGCAAGCACGACTACGACGAAGAATTCTGCGGAGGCGAGGGCCAGGCTATGAGCTTTTTCACAAGGCACAAATTGCCATACGCGTACGAGACGCCGCCGGAAGAGGGTTCAAGATAGGCATCACAACTGCGTCATCGGCAGTGTCGGCGTGGTGATCGAGTTCGAAGACTCCCTGCCAGAGGAGGACGTCTTGGTGTACCTGCGTGGTGAGGAGGTCCCTTTCCTGGACGATGCGAGGTAGGTGGTAGGTAGAGAGGTGACATGAGAGGTGAGAACTGGACACGCACACGTGCGCGTGCGCGGAAACAATGCGCAATGCCGGAGATCAGACCCACCGGCGCGGTTTCCCCGGTTAATATGGACGCTCGTCGTCTGCCTCAATTCTCACGGGACCACCTTCACTCATAGTGTACGATAGGCCGCGCGCGACGCCACTCGTCTTAGGCAGTCGCGTGCGACCGCGCGGCGGCTGCGGCGGCGAGCGCGGCCGCGACCACCACCGCTGCGGCCGCGGCAGCCGCTCGTGCGAGCCCCCCGGACGGCGCCGCCCGCGCCGCCGTCTCGCCCGCAGCCTGCGGGGCGTGGTAGAGCACGCCATCGCCGCCGACGGAGGTGAGGTGGCAGTTGTAGCCCTTGGCCTCGAGGCGGCGCCGCGCGGCGTCCGCCGACTTGCTCGCCTCGCCTCTGGCGGCGCCGCCGACGCCGACGACGGAGATTGCGCAGCCGCCTCCTCCGGCGCCAGTCAGCTTTGTGGCGAGGCCGTGTTCCGCGGCGGTGGCGACGACGTCCTCGAGGGCGGCGCCTGCGGGGCATATAACGTGTCGTGGACGCATCCCGGAAAGGGCCTGTCCTTTGCGGCGAGGGGGGCGCCAGAGACTCCGAGCGAGACGAGGAGGCCGTGGTTGATTCGCACGAGCTCGGGCAGCTCCGCGCTGAGCCGCGCCTACAGGGGCGCGTAGCGGGCGTGCAGTGGGCGTGCACACACGCCCCGCCAGCCGCCGCGCCTCTGCCGCGCCTCCGACGAGGCGGTCGCTGCGAGGAAGGCCTCGGCGACGGAGGCGACCGCGCCGAAGAGGGCCTCGGTGAGGGCGGGCTGTGCGTCGCGCAGCGCTCGCACCTTCGCCACGAGGCGCCTGCGGGAAGGCTCCGCGAAGGCTGAGGGAGGGCCCTAGCGAGCCTCGCACGCGAGGTGACGAGGCACCGCGTCGAGCGCGGCACGTTGGTGTTGGTGACCAGGACAGTCATCGGCCGTAGCGAGGCGATCGGCTCGAAGCGAAGGGCCGCGCCGCTCTCCCGGCCGGCCCGCTGCGGAGGGAGCGGGGCGGGGGGTCAGAGCCGCGTCCCGAAGCCGGTGCCAGTAGGGGAGAGGGGCAGTGCAGCGAGGGGAGGGCTGGCGGTGGAGCGCTGGCGTCAGCGCCGTCGCTGTCTCTTTCCCTTGGCGGTCTGCGGGGGCGCCACATGCGGTCGGAAGGCGGGCGGGGCCCACCTGCAGCCGCATCCCTCCGCCCTCGCACGAGACGGCGTTGTCGAGGCCGGACGGAGTGCCGTGCAGGATGCACCTGCGGGACGGTGTCGTGGACGTGTCACGGACATGGCGAGGCGGGGCGGGGTGGCGCGTGCTTTTCGCACTCGGCGCAGTAGGCCCAGCCGTTGATGAGCTCGCGCGCGGCGCTCGACGGCGTGCTCGTCTCGGCCTCACGGCACCCCTCCTCCCCAGTGCCCGCCACCCGCCCTCCAGACCCGCCTGCTCCCGACCGTCCTCCTCCCGCCTTCGCGCCTCCCGCCTCTGCTGACGTCGCCGCTCCGTCGGCAGCTCGCGGCCCGCCCTCGAGCAGAGCGAGGTCCGAGGCGGCGGTCGAGCCGAGCCGCTCGCGCAGCAGCAGCTGCAGCCGCAGCAGCGCCGCCGCCACCGCCACACTGAAGGCGGCAGACGAGCCGAGCCCGGCGCCGACCGGCAAGCCGGCGGACCGCACGCCGACGCGCAGCCGGCCGCCGACTCGCGCGCCGAGCTGCGGGAGCAGCGACGCGGCGAGGAAGAGCAGCGGCACCAGCGCCGCCTTGTCCGCCTCGGGCGCGCCGCCCAGCTCACGGTGGAGTGCCTCGATGACGCGAGCGCCGGCGGCCAGCGGCGTGCGCCAGCCATCGTCGCTGCGCTCCTCCGAGGCGCGGGTCGGGAGCATAGCGGCGGCCAGCGCCGACAGCGGCACGTCCGCCCGCACAGGACCTCTGCCGCACGCGCTCGGCAGGTCGTGCAGCGTCGCCTCGAGCGTCCCGTCGCCGTCGTCACACAGCTCGGCCTCGACGGTGACGCGCATGCTAGAGAGCGCCACGGCCACCGCCGTGTGACCGTACACCACGGCGTGCTCACCAAAGAGGATCAGCTTCCCTGGGGCGGAGGCACGCGAGCGGAGCGGTGTGGGGTAGGGCGCCTTCGCCATTTTGCTGTGCCAAGGTGGATGAAAAGATCTATCTCTGGCAACAAAGGCGAAAGAAGCCGCGAGAACAAGGGACCGG